TGCCCAGTCACTCATGCTTGGTCACCGCCCAAATGGATGACTGCGATATGTTCTATATGGGGCTGCCTTGAAGAACATCCAGAAGTTGTAACAGGTCCAGAATGCAATTAAGGCAGTTATGGGTGCACCTCAATATGCCCATATTACACCTCTGTTACATAAACTGCACTGGCTTCCTGTGTGCTTCCAGGTGCTATTAAAGGCACTGCTTGTCACCTATAAAGCTCTTCATGTCATGCACTGGATTATTTTCAGGACTGTCTCTTTCTAATTGTTTCTACCTGCCCCACTGGATCTAACAGGAGAGGCATGCTTTGGGTTCCTTCACTTAAAGAGTGTCACCTAGTGGGACCCAGAAGAACGGCCTTTTCTATCACAGTGCCTGCCCTGTGGAACACCGTACTCCATGAGGTTAGATTGGTTCCAATTCTGTTGGTTTCTGAAAAGTTTTGAAGACCTGGATGTGTTCCAGGCATGGTTAGTAAGACCCTGTGAGATGCTATTATTTCATTGTTGTTTGTGTTTGTCCTCAGTTGCCATTATAGGTTTTCATAGATGTGATTTATTTTTGTATTATGTTTTGGTTGATATTAGCTACTCAGAGTCTCTATGGCAAGTTGGGCAGCCATATAAATTGGATGAATGAATCAATGAATTTGCAGCCCTAGCTTACATCATTGTAAATACTGACTTCACATATTTAGTAGGCCAGAGTTGCTAACAGAGATTTTACATGATTGTAGCATGAGCACTGTTCATCTTTTCTGGACTTTCCACTTAAAATAAAAGGATGGAGTAATCCTTCATTCTTTGGGACATTCCAATATAATCAAACCTTGATTAACTAGCATGAATGAAGAAGGGAGAGAAAAATGAATCTATTTTCTTGAAATGCTTTAAAACACGCACACAGATATACACACAGAGGAGGAATATAATAAGAATGGTTGAAGGACTCATCCGCATTTTTGCTGTTTGGGGATATAGTAGAAGGACTTTCTATCTGTTCCATTCCTACGTACCCCACACTGTACCCCCTTAAATCTTTTTTTTACTTTGGGAACTTCCAGTATTTAAAGAGAACACTGTTGTAAGAAAACGACAGACACGGGTTCGGTTA